CTTGAGGAAGCTAGTTAGTCTGCATCACTCCTGCTGTATCCCCCGGCTGGCTATTCTCACTGCTTGGTACAGAATACACCTGTCACGCCCGTGACAGGAAGACACCTGCCCCATTGGTTTAAGGAAGTACCTTCTTCAAACCCGAGCAAAGTCTGACTTCAAACCACTGTGGATGAGAAGGGACCTCTAGTGGTCAACCCCAAAGGCCACATCTCTGCTACCTTCCAGCTGCTCTCGTGACTGCGTTCTGGCCAGTCCGCTCCAGGTGGTCAATTCTAGGAGGTGGAGGGAGGAAAATACAGCATGGACCAAAGGAATTGGGGTTTGGATACAGGTCGGTTGCGGAGAGTAGGATGGCTTCTGCTGAGTGGCCTGGCGAGGATGTAGTGGATATTTTTCTGTATACTTGCAGGTACCCATTTCCTGGCATGATTGGGCTGTTCCAGGGAATGAAAAGATATGGAGGAAGCAGAAAAATGACCTCAGCCCAAGGAAACAAGTCTTCTGCATTTGAGAACAGAGCATAGTACTGTGAAAGAGCGCGTTTTAATCTTTAAATTATGACTCGAGAAGCAAATCAAAAATTCAGAGACCATCTCCCTAGAAAAATACCCATGTGCACATATACATGTACACACACACACACACACACACACACACAGACACACGTTTACCCATCCACAGTGGTTCAAGAAGCCAAGTTAAGAAACTCTGAAGTAAGACACTTGGAAAAGGATGTAGTGTGGCAGCCAGGAATCGTAAATGAATTTTAACCCCAGCAACACTTTGGACAAGTCCTTTTACCTCTCTGAACTTCATTTCCTCAACTATTAAAATAAGGGAGGATCAGATGTAGGAATGCCAGATAAAAGAGAGAACACCTAGTTAAATCTGAATGATTTAACTTATACTTAAAAATGATTTTTAAAATTATAAATATATATCAAATATTGGCTTTGTTGTGAATTAATATTGGCTTTGTTGTGAATTAATAGATCGTTGATTCATGGAATATACTTATACTAAAAAGATATTGATTGTTTACATGAAATCCAAATTTAACAGGATATCCTGTATTTTTATTTGCCAAATTTGGCAACCCTAGGATTGAGATTTTTTTGGTGATGAAGGAATAAATCCTAATGGAGGATGGGAAATTAGAGAATCATTAGCCACTGTTTAAGCTGGAAATTTTGAAGTTCTGTGACTGATTTTAAGCAGTTTAGTAGACACTGTGTTGGATTCTAGATGAAAAAAATTACCATGCTGTGTCCTTGCATTGCTCAAAGGCCCATTTATCATTACTAGGCTGTGTTGACCAGATTTCTAGCTTTACTGTCACTTTAGAGCCCTTAATGGCATTTCCAGTGACCTGGCCAGATGACCTTTGCTGACCTGTGACCCTCCAGCCATTTGCTGAGCTGCTGCCTCTGTTACATCATCTTGTGACAGCAGATGTGAGGTCTGTGACCCCTTCCTTCCTTCCTTCCTTCCTTCCTTCCTTCCTTCCTTCCTCCCTCCCTCCCTCCCTCCCTCCCTTCCTTCCTTCCTTCCTTCCACTGAAGTTTCTTTAGTGCCCACCATGCATTAGGCATTGTGCTGGGCACGCCCCCTTAGCTGAGGGGCTTTGACTTTTATGACCCTCATCAATGCTTAGCCCTGTAGCCCATGGTCCTTAAAATGAAATTCCTGGGCCGCTGTGCCGGTCACACCCGGCAGGTTGTTAAGGATGAGATTCCTGAGTGTCATCAGAGCCGATGACGGAAAGGTGCCTGGAGACTCCCCAGAGCTTCTTCCGTTCACTTAAACCAGAACGCCACGGCTGCCAGCTCTTGGACCCCCTTCTCTGTCCGGATGTGCATGAGCCCGATGTGGAGCAGATGGGTTTCTACTCCCAAGAGTTTCCAGATTGGAGGCTGCCTCTCTTCTCTCTGGGCCTGAGCTATGAGGTATTGAGATCTGTTAATACTCCAACCAGTCAACCAACCCCGGCTTAATGGTTAACTACAAGGCTTAACTACTTATGGAGAAATGGTTTCTCCTCTCTATCAGTTCCAAGAAAGAGGAATGCTCCAGGGATGATACGTGACCTTGAACAAATCTTGTCACTGCTTTGATTTTCCAGAAGGGGCGCCATGACACCATTTTTCAAACGTGAAATTCTCTCCAGCAGAGCGCACTGTCCCTGGCTCCTGACCACCAACTTTCTTCTCTAGAATGGAAGACACTTGAAGACCAGGAGCTTTGTTCTGCTCGTCTTTGTATCTCCCAGGGTTCCCACTTAATGTTGTGGGGTTCAGGGGGCACCATTCGTCTTGTAGCATCATAGATTCGTACAGCTATTAAAACAATTTCCACAGATGGCAGTAGAGTGACTTGAGAACCCAAGTCTTATTAATTCACTATCAACCCAGGGCACGGATTAGTGCACATTGAATGGAAATTAATTAGAAGGTGGACGGTGGGGTGGGACTGGGCAAGAGGGGCTGGACATACCCTGGAGCTAACCTCCCGCAGTCCCTCCCCGCCAGCCTTACCCGGGGCAGCGCCGTGGCTTGAAGGGCTTCTGCGGAGTGAGCGGGGTTCCCCTGACAGGTGGGGTCCCTCGGCCTGGCCGGCGGAGGTTGGGCCAATACCGGCAGTCCAATATCCCCCCAAGGGGTCCCAGAGTGCGAGAGGGCACTCTGCTAAGTTGTTGTGGCTTGGCACTCCTGTGTTGAGCATCTGCCCTCTGGTGGTCATTGCACATCATAGCTACCAACCGGACGGCTGAATGGTCAGACAGTTGCTTAAGCTTTTATAGATATAGATGAGAAAGACACCATATTGGCTTGGATGGCACTGACATCTCCAATGCTTTGAGCACTCAGCACATAAAGGGTACTCAATAAAAGCCACTGAATACTTTCCCCAATAGTTGAAATAGTACAATGAATATCTGTTTAACCTGATCTAGATTCTAGATTCCGTGTGTTAATATTTTGCTATACTTGCTTTGTGTCTGTGTATTTATTTATTTCTGCTGAATCATTTGAAAGTTAATTTCAATCATCATCATCACACTTAAACCCATAAATATTTGAGCAGGCAATTCCGAAGGATAAGGACATTCTGCAATGCCATTATCATACATAAGAATGAGCCATTATTTCCTAATATCATTTAATATCCAGTTGTAGAAGTTGACGTTGGTGCCCTACCCACATCCCCTTGGCCAGCCTACATGCCACCCATATTTCTATATGGCAGGTGACTTCCTGAGTGCCTGTACCTGAACATTCACTGAGGGACAGAGAGAGTGTGTTCTGCCCTCACAGGGTAGGCTGGGGGTGCTGGGGAGTAAACACTCCAAGAGTGTCCCTCACCCATGGATGGAGAGAACTTGGTGGATACATACCCAAGCTTCCTACGCCCTCATGAGCCGATTCTGAGTGATGTTTCGCACACAGTTGCCCACAGCAGTAACCTGTTTATCAACACACCCTTTATTGGTTTTCCTCCCTTCCCCATCTCACTTCCTTACTGTGCTTCCTGAGATCAGCTTTAAGGAAACGATTTAGATCAGCTTTAAAGAAACCAAAGCTTTGTCTAATGTCTACTTTGGAGGGACCCAAAGTGCCTTGATGAATTGGTCAAGACATCAGTTCCTTTAAAAGTGATCATATTAAACAGCCTGCCCTGAGAGCCACAGAGACGCAGACACTAACCTGCTCAGAGGGTGCTTGCAGCCCAGCCAGCAGGAGCTGCTCTTAGTTGTGACTCTTCCCGGAACACTTTCATGGCGGTGCTTGTTGATTTATTATGCCCTGCCCAGCCTACATTAATAATAGCAATAGTGACTGCTTATTAAGTGCTTACTGTGTGGCCCTTCACACGCTTTATTTCATTTAATTCCCACAGTGACTGTGTAGGGAGGGCATTATTATTACCCCCATTTTGTTGAAGAAAAACTGAGGCTCATCGAGGTTAGGTAACCTTTAGGAGTCACACAGCTAGCAAGAGGTAGACCGACGTGTTAAAATGTGCAAATTTACATAAAGAACCTTTTATTCTATTCTCATATAATTGGGACAATAGTACATGACAGATAAAATTCACATTGTAACAATACCATAAACATATGTATTTTTAGCCCTAGCCAGTTTGGCTCAGTGCATAGAGCGTCGACCTGTGGACTCAAAGGTCCCGGGTTCGATTCCGGTCGAGGAATGTACCTTGGTTGTGGGCACATCCCCAGTGGGGAGTGTGCAGGAGGTAGCTGATCGATGTTTCTCTCTCATCGATGTTTCTAGCTCTCTATCCCTCTCCATTCTTCTCGGTAAAAAATCAATAAAATATATTTTTAAAATATGTATTTTTAAACCATTAAAAAGTAGATATCCTCAATTGCTAATTCTTGAAAGTTAAATGCAAGGTTGGCCCTATCAGGTGAGACCCTCAAAGGGCAAGACCTTTCCCCTGCCATGGCTGGCGTGGTGCAATTCACACACTGGGCCTGGGCTACCAGTGGGAAGTAATACTTTCCCAGCATGATTTAAGTTGTGTGAAATCTTCTAATCTTTTGGCTGCTGTGAAAATCAAACCTCTCCTCAGACTTGCCCCAAGGGCGGCAAGGGGCGCGGGGTGGGTAGGGGGGTGGGGAGAGCAGCACCCAGGCGGGACCCAAGTGGGGGATGGTTCTGGGCCAACCTGGGGGCACTGGTCAAATTCTCAGGCTGTCAGATTATTAGTCATCTAACCTGAGTATGACAATGTTCAGTGAGATGAGCTACAACTTTCTGCATAAGCTCAGGTTTTCCTGGAGCAATAACATCCCTGGTAGTAATACCTGGCCCCACCTAGTAACGTAGGTATCCATACACACCTAGATCTTAAGAAGATGTCTTTCCTAATTACTGTCTTCTCTAAGAATCCATAAAAAGAAACAGACTTTGAACCCAATTTAATTATTTACTTGACCCTACTGTCATAAAGCGTTCAAATTCAAGTATTATAAAGATGGCAGCGGGGAAAGGATTCAGGGTTCTCCGACAGAGGAACAGTTGGCCAAGGGAGTCAGCTTTTCAAAGCTCCGCAGGTAAGTGAAAACATGTCCGCTGAGGGAAATCCGTTCTGAAAAGTTGCTTCCTTGGTGGGGTGGAAGGGAAGGAGAGAAATCAATCTTCCTCCTTGAGAAGGAACTAGAATACTTTCAGTTTCTACTGAGCACCCACAGGGAGCCGTGCTTGAGAAAACTCTATTAATGACCGAGTTCTGAAATCACTGCCGTTACCACGTGTCAGAGAAATCTTTATGGCAAAATGGAAAAGTTAGAAAAGAATCAATATTAGTCCTAATTGCCTCTTGTTGGAAGATTGATACAGGCTTGCCAGCCAGACAGGGTGAGCCTGGCAGGAACGAAACTGTCTCAGAACAGGCCTGGGATGGGGTCAAAACTCCAAGTTGCTAAGGTCTGTGGGGTAGGCAGGGGCTGGAAGGATTAACAACAGCTTTTTCTTTTTCTT